CTGCTGGCTTTCTAGCGCCGAAAATTGTTGGCGTAAAATGTGAAGTTTTTTATTACTTTCATTTATTTTTTTGTTTGATTTTCATTTCAGTTTTGCGGTTAGCTGTCGGCCTTTTTCCATTGCTTTCTTTATTAGCCTATCTTAGTTGTTTTTAAAGTTTTTTTATTTCCTGCTTTATCCGGCTTACTTTCTCTTTCATTGCATTCTTCTCTCCATTTGCGCATTCGTAGTTTATCACCAGTTTTTTACTAGACAGTCATTGGTAACTTGTAATTAAAATTTTTTGTTTGCTGAAATACGTCTAGGTCTGCGTATGCATATATTTATGTTTATATGTAGTTATTTCTATAATTTATATATATTTGTTATATATTTGTTTCGACTAACTTTTTTACATGCGACAAAACTATGTCAGCTGCATCTAATTGCAGTTTTCCTGTTACGAAATTTGTTTGAATTCGTGTAAGTATTTTTTTGTAATAATTGTTTTTGTTTTTATTTTTATTTTCTTGCATTATACTTTCTTTTTATCTTCATTGCTTTTTGATACAATGTCAAAAGTTTTGCATCGTATCCAACATTACTCGCAGACCATGCATTCATCTCCCGCCACCACACTGACTTCACCGTTTCGTGTTGCCGCCGGCCATGCAGTTAGTAGTTCCGGAATCTATATATGTAGCTGCACATATACTAGTATACGAATAAACAAACATTAATACATATTTGTATGCATATGCACACACATATACATACTAGATATCTACACATACATTCAGTCTGGATTGACTGATGCCAGCACTGGCATAGAAAAAGTCCCGCACACATACACATACACGCAAGCATATATAATACATACATCCACGCACATATAAATATTTGATTTGTTGTTGTAACGCAAACTTATTTTTATCGCCTGGTTGTTGCCTTTGTTTTATGCTAGCGCACAAATCAAGCTGTAGACCCAACATAAATGTAAACGGGAAAATGTCACATGGAGTAACAATCAAATGGCACATTAAAAAATTGCTACTTTTTCACACACACACACGCCAACAGGAAGCTGTGTGGTGGTGCTGCAGTCACAAAAACGCGCTTTTTTAAATGTATACATAAATTTTGTGGAAAAACTTGGCAGCTACTGATTGCCGAAAATTGGTGGAATTAAATCTGTAGTCCTTTACTTTGTTCAAAAAGGTAAATCATAATAAACAAAATTTTTTTTGCTTTGTTTTTGCACACTTCTTCAACTGCGTTTAAAGTTATTGTTCCATAAACCGCAATTTTGCCAATTTCGTTTGGCTTTGCTGTGGAGTTATGGACTTTTTCCTTAATTCTTTACATACATTTTAACCAATATGACGGATTGTTAGCTTTGTACAGGACGTTGCACAGGTTTTTTGACATATGCATACTTAATTTGGAGCAATTTATTTGGAGCATTATTCCAATAAAATATCAGTCAAGTGACGACAGTGTATTTAGTTCGTATTGCATTACCCTTTCGAATATCTCAGTCGATATAGCGAAGTATTAGAAACGAGATTTTGCTTAAAGCCTGGCGAGTGTCCAGGAATTGCTGTCATTGTCATTGCTTTTCAAATAACACCACAAAAAAGTGGGGAAACTTTGATAACCTAAGCTTAGTCAGGTAAGATAACCGCACACAAATCTATGGCTTGATATATAGTCAGAGGCCCTAGCTTAAATTAAGTTAAGCGGTCGATCCTAAGAGGGTTCTTACTTAGACATCTTAGAACACTCCTAAAAGTTCCATCAAAAGACCCTTACAAATCGACAAAGCACTTTGAGCCTATCACAAATTTGTTGAGACGACTAATATAAGTTTCTGCTATGTATACTGCTTCGCCGAGGGTAAGAAAACCGTGATGTTTCAGAGTCAGTCTTGCAAAGGCTGGACAATGGTAGAGAAAACACCTGGATGTTTCCACCTCAACCTCCTCCATACAACTTTAACAACCAGAATCCGACAAGATTATAAGCCTTACCGCATGAATACCTATTGGAGAGCTTCCAGTAAGAACTCCCACGTTTGCGGCAAAATGAACTTTACTCAGGCAAGTAGTTCAGAAGACCTCTTACGTTCTACTCCACGCCAGAAAGATCCTGCAGTCGCAAAGGAGCGGGTCATCGACCTAATCATCGGAGAAAAATGTGGTATTTACACTTACTCTGCCAACTACCAAGCAATGTATTTTTCAATTCCTTACAAGACATTCACTTCTAAATATGCTATTCTAAGTTCATAATATATATAATATCTATAAAAACATGTATGCAAGTCCTACTATCATGCATTGAATTATTGGAGCTACTAAAAATATTAGTTGGGTCTTAAACCCTCTCTGTTTGCTAAGCAGTCAATTGCACTAATTGTGCTGTCAAACAGAGATTTTTGCAGATACCGTATGTGAGTTACCTATTAGTTAGCAATTCTACTGCTTCAGATCTAATAGTGGTTTGATCAGAGAAAAAGCTTTTAATTGTAATTCTTGAAATTTAAAGTATATAAATCGTTGGGCTGTGAACAGGAACAAGGATTCGATTTTTTTTATTTATAAGGCCATTCTCAAAAATTCAATGTAAGAGCCAAATATCGTTAGTACTTTTGGGTGATGCCAAGAGCCATATACATATGTCGCCTGAAACCATCACCTTAAAACGACCTACCTTTTGTTAACAAAATCATATCAAGAAATCCTGTAATTCAGAAGGCACAGTTATTGACGGTACAGATTCGATTTAGGATTTTGAACTTTTTCGCTAGACGTTGTTGTAAATGCAAAAAAAGTAATCATCCGCTTTAGAAATGGATTGATTTTATTGCGATTCAGCAATGATTCGGAAATTAGAAATTCGGTCAATGAGGTGTATTTTTTTGCGTTAATTCGTGTCGCATCCATACACAGAGCTTCGTTTTGTATCCATTATTATTAAAATGTTTCCAAACGGTTTTTCTGCAATGTTTAGCTCTTGACCAATAAGAGTAGGGTTTACCGGGAGATCAGACTCGACGATTTTCATTATTTGAGCGATATTTTCGACAGTTTTCTTTTTTTCTATATTATTTATTATTAATATAGTTATTTGATTAACGCCACAAAGTTTTGTAAATTGGTTTTTAAATGAATTTATGCAAAAAAAAAAAGGAAAAAAAAATTTGTTTTTATAATTTTTTTTTTGGTATTTGCCATTATGCAAAAATTTGCGCTTGATAAATTAATTACATAATTCTTTCTATTACCAAAAAATATTCCTTTACCATTGGCTGATAATGCCGATTATCGAACTATTGTTTTACTACTGTTATTGTAAATGTGTTTTACATTAGACATTTTTAAGCTATTGCATAGCTTCTATCGGGGCTTTGAGCGTGCATTAAACCTAACCGATCACAACATATGCACAAAATGTTTGCATACTTGTAGGCTTATTTGCGCATATCTCAAGCGGAACAAATCAATTGAAGAGCAGGGTGATTCAAAAATAATATTTTTTAAGATACATTTTTTTTATGGCAAATAAAAATATAGAATTTAATAAAAATTGAATTAATAAAAAATAAATGATTCAATATTCGGAGTCATAATGTTAGTAACATTATTATTATTTTCGTAAATAGCTGCCCCACCTTTTGGAACAGTATCTCGTTTGAATTGAAGAATATAATTGGAATTAGGTATTTCAATCGGAATATCAATGGTTATAAATTTCCACTTATCTTCACTGGCGATTTCAATATCAACTACGCTGATAAAAAATCAAAGCGATTGACAACTTTTCTTTCGGAAAAATTTAATTTGAAAATGAATATGGAATAATCGACAAGAATCCACAACAAAATATGGAACCACACTTGACGTGGTATTTTCACGATACCTGTATTTAGAGAATATCAAGTCTCAAACTTATGTTTCTTATCTCTGTTATCATAAACCTATAGTTTCAGTCAGAGATAAAAAGATGCCCAACTCATTTCTCTCTGGAATTGAGAGCGCAACTGCTAAACGTCAAAACGTCTGACGTTTAGCAATTGAAAAATGAGGGACGGCCAGATTGAAATCCTACAGAAGAATATATGAACAGAGAGATTTGTTGCTGCTGTTGAAGATCACTAACAAAAATGTGCAAACAATGAAAATGAAAGAATGTGACGTGATGCTTAGTAGTAGTAATTTTCAATTGAAAATTATGAAAAAAACATTTATTAATTGTTAGCTCTCAACGTACGTTTATTTATTTGATTAAGTATTGAAAGTTCAAAAATCAGTTGTTTTATTATATTACAAAATCCAAAAAAGGGTTTAAAATAGTTTCTGCATATGTTTAACTGATACATATATAATAATATTTAATCTTAATAAATCCATCAGGGCATCCCCTTATCCCTGGTTTTAATTATAAAAATTCCTGAATAACCTACTTGTATTGTAACATTTCAAACAATATTAACTTCTCATATATTCAATAAAAGAAAAAAGTTTTTTCTTATCGATCACCACGCGCAAAAAGTGCAACTTGAATTAATATCAAAAAAAATAAATAATTATATATGCAATAGCTTTGCCGCGGCAGTCCCCGAGTGCCACACGTACTTTTTTGTATAATTATTTTAATATGAGCTAAGTACACTCTGAAATTTTCGTTCGTTAAAAATACATTTCATTACTTTCAATATTCTTTTTTATTTAGTTAATATATCAGGCGTTTAGTTGACATAATTTCTGTCTTATTTAGAAAATATTTACTGCAATCTATCCTCACTATACTCCTAACAAGCCATAAGCAAGTCAAACACTTCGCACACATCAAACGAAATTCCCCGCTAATTACGAAAAATTTAAAAGCACGCTATGGGGACCACAACAAACAGCTGGCGCTTTGTTAATTTCTCTGCATATTCAACAACAACTGCCTGCTACTTCGGTGACTAATACTAAAAAATAATTACTACATTTAAACATAGTGTTACCACTCACCTGCTGCAGTTGTATCACACGACAGGGGCACTTCATGCCAAACGCCTAAAATTATGTTATGACAACACAATAACGGTGAAGCCCAACGCGTCGAACTCATTTAACACGACACTGCCACGTAGGTATGTAGAGGTGCAGGGCCAACCAATAGCTGACACCACTGTTGCCTGCGTCAATTGCCTCTGGACAACACACTTGTAAATGTCAGTATGCATTGTCTTTTTGTATTTGTTTTTATAATTATTTTGTGCTTTTGTTTTCGGCCGCACAAGCACATATACATGCAGGAAAACACACTTGTGCTGAGTCAGCTTGTGTAGGCAAGCAGTAGACTGATGCTAACACGTTCGCATTATGTTAAACGTCTCACGGGCCTATGCGCCTTAACATATGCAATAACAATTTACACATGCGTTTGCTTGCTTCACTGTCATCGCACACATATACACAAGGCGGCGCGCTATTGTTTTTTAATGCCTCGAGACGTTGAGTGTGCGTTCCTTTGTTTTTGTTGTCGCCACATTTGTTTCAAGTGCTTTTGTGTTATCACTTTTTGTTGTTTGTTTCTTTCCGTTTTGCTGCCTTTTCAAACAAATGTTAACTGTCACGGCATGTCAGTGTCAACAAGCGACCACACGCGTATTTTCGCTGTCGGCGGCGAACGTGGTGACGACCAATGACGGCGAAAAGGTCCAACTCATCATGCAAAAGGAAAAAAAAATCCCCTTAACACATATGTACCACATTTATATATACACACACACTTGAAATTTCTCATTTGACACTTAGTATATTTCTGTCTACCGCCTCAAAGTATATTTGGTGCTTTTGCTTGTTTATTCTACAATATATATTTGCGCCTTGACGTATGTCGCGCGCCAAAAATTATGCTATGCGTCTCTTCGAAGTCGCACAAACGAAGCAGCACACTCGTTGCACACACAAATCGTCACAACCGAGTTCTATGCACTCGGCTAGAGGCACACCACACTCGGTCGCCTCGGCCACTTCGTTCCGCACTCGTTGCTGTACGAGCTGAAACTGAATTTGAATTTGTTGGCGGCGACACACCGAACACGGTCAAAGTCAATGCTACTTGGCATCGTTGAAGCGTTCATTAGTGGCTGGCGCGTTTCGTGGCCGAAAACCTCTAGTACATGTAAAGTGGTGAATTTTGTTCTGAGAGAGAATTTATTATGCTGAGAGCGTTAGGTTCAATAATGTGTATGAGATATTGAGCGCTCTGTAGTGTGGTGAATTTTGTCTGCGGAGTTTTATACATTTTACCACAATTGTGTTGAGATTTTAGCAACCTAAAGTGAAGTCATATAAAAATTTTGGTGAGGTTTGTGTTGCAGTAAATATTTTTAATATGTTGTGTTTTGTATCAGCTGTGGTGAATTATTGCTATTACCTGTGCTAAATTTTCACTTATGTTGATTTTAACACATATCATTTCTGTGCAATAATTTCTGAATTCCACATATATATTTGCTTTTACACTGCTATTTCAATTGTAACATGAGTGAGGTGAGATTCTTAGCTCACTGTAAAATTAACTGTTACCGCGTTTTTTGTAATAGTTGCTGTAAGAATTATGAATAAGTTATGTTGATGCATAAGTTATAATTAATTACATAAGTTTATTTTTCACCACGGTTAAGGTGAGATGCTTTTTTTTGAATGAGTTGCAATTATTTTTTGTAAATTATTCTCACTAGAAAACATATTGTTTTTTTTTGTGTTTCTTTACTATTTTATACATAACAACTTAATTTAGACTATATATGGTGAATAACTCAACACGCCTTATATTTATTGTAATTTGATTGTAATTGAAACTTGACTTGTGGTGGCTGCAACGATAGCTCATGCGAATGTTCGAATCGAACCTGAGCGATACCATATCTGGCAAAATATTTACCTCGTGTTGATTTCCAAAACTCACCATTACTTAGCTTTGGTATTATGCTTCTTTCATACTCTTGCATACCTTTGAAATTTAAAGAATTTCTTCTCTGTTGTATTTATTTTATTCTCTGGCTATCTCACATGTACATGTTTCGCGCTCGCTCTCTTTCTTTATCATTTCGCCAAAAACTCACCTGTTGTCGTTTTGCTTTTGTTGTTCATTCACGTAACTAACCATTATGATGAACTTCCTACTCGAAATTCCATTAGTCGTCAGTCACTTCGTTGTTAATCATTCAAATGCCTCTCGGCCGCAAGCGGAAATAACTGTAATCGTACTCTGTGGTGAATTTGAGCGGCTTGAAATAAAGCGTATAATATCTTTGGAGTACTCTCAAATGTCGAGTGTGCCACAGCTTCCTAGAACTACTTGTATATGCGGGTGTATCCATTCATTTTCTTGTTTGTGTGCATGGTGCATCCATATTATGCCTTACATATGTTGAGCGCCGGCGGTCGGTTGAGAGTTATAAATGCGGTTTTAATTGCACTTTGGTTAAAGCATTTACAACAGCTTAAAATGAAAATTCGATTTCGAATTTACAATGTGGCAGTAAAATAAGGCATTATTGAAGTAGCATGCCAGCAAGCAATTTTTAATGACAAAAATATACCATAGTCATTAACACATGATTAAATTGCCTTCAGAGTATATGCAATTCTCAGTGGTTTAATGAGTTCCTTTTTATTTCATTTTAATTTGCTGACGGGGAAAAATGGGGTTTTTACGTAAGTTTGTGAGGGGGAAAAGGAATGTCGCTTAATATTTATGAAATTTATTATGTTTGATTCGATTAAGTAGAAATTTTCCAAGTGGAATATGTTTTTTCGCTAATTAAAGAGGGTCATGAATAGAATTTGGTTGTATTTGGTATCACCTCAAACACGAATCAATTGCATTTTTAATTACGCTTTTACGCTCCGTTAATTTGTTTGCTTTTAAATTCCAAGGATTGGTCTGAAATCGAAGCATCAAAATGAACTCTTCGCTACGCTTAGATACTACTTTAAAAATCCATTTTGTTCGTGGTTAGTTACAAAGTGTGTTTAAAAAATAACGGGAGTCTTGAAATTAAAATTTCGCTGGTTTGGAGAATCCAGTTAGCAAATATTTTATATTATGTTATTATCTGTACATGAACCTAATGAAGGGCGATAGAATGTTCAGCTATATTCAGTGCTTACTTTGTCTGTAGCAGCTGCAAAGTTTAGTCGGCGATAACATTTATATAATAGACAAATAATACATTTTTTTTCTTTAAAAAATCGTAAATTTCCGTTATTTTTTTAACACACTTCGTATATAATTTTAAATGTATCGGCTGTAGCGCCACCTAGTGGCTCTAAATATTTTGCAATGTCCTGTTTATTATTATTATATTTTTAATTTATTTATAAACGTATTGGTTCTACAACTATATTCGTAATATCATTACCCAACTGAATCTAGAATATTTTAACAACTTTCTGGTAATTTGTGGATTCTATTCCATAAAAACTGTACCGGATGATGGGAACCGTAAGTGCGGTGAGAAACCTCTGCATCGATCGGAGCATATGGTAAACAGAAGGGACAAGATCTAACCTATTAGGCGTATGAGACAAAACAGTTATCGCAATAGTTTTTAACCGGTCTTACAATATGAGGCCGAGCGTTGTCACGATGAAACAGTATTGCCTGACATGCAAAACCGAATATATTTTTCTGATTTTAAACGTTTTGAGTTTGATGCTTGAGTGACTTCTAAATATGTCGCCAGCTCTTCTTGTGTTTGGCCACAATCCTCATCATATTTAAATCATTTTAGGCACGTTCGCTCAGCTAGATCATGTTCACTATAAACTTAAACCAATGTACGACGAGTTGCGGTTTACTTCATAATAAAGTATTGAAGAAAAACTCCTCGTTTCTTTGTGCCTGGAATATGTGAGTGAAAAAAAATATTGTGGTTTACGATGTCTACGAATTAGTTTCCACCTAAAATCACTCCATTAAGATAGCTTATTTTTTTAGCAGGTTCTTAAAAGTTTCTCAAAAATAATTATTCTGATTTTTTTTCTCGTTTCAGATTGACTTGTTAAACTATTGGTTCCAAACATAGGGTGAGCAGTAAACGACGATATTTTGTGCAAATATTATGCGTGAGTATTCTTACGAAAATCTTTAATGTGAAACATGTGAATGTAATGCAAAAATTTAAATTGTTATTGAAATTTTGAAATATTATAATTAGAGGTTTGCTCATTTATCGATGTACTATATAACATATATTATAGTAGAACTAAGTGATTGCTTAAACGACTCAAAATTGAAAAACGTAAAGGTTTCGAACAAATTAAAAACTACGTAGTTATGTAAGAACTACCTGCTACTTATGTTAGATTGGGTTTGGAAAAGACTGCGAACATATATGTAGATTACTTTTTCCAAGCAGACCGAATAAAAAAAATAGAATCTTAACTGAGCATATTTGTAGTTTAATGCCAGCAAATATAGTCGGAGTTATATTTTTGTAAAAAGTGTTAACATTTTGTAACAATTAATGAATGCTAGGGTTATGAGTCTACGTTTACCTTCTATCCTCTGCTAGTTACTTTACCAGCGTTTAGCTACGTTTATTAATTACAATTTTAAATATAAAACCATAAGTTTCTTCAAAAATTTGTATGTAATATTGTAAAACTTACATGCAACCGTTTTGTAATTTTCTAAACAAATAAAACTTCATCACATTCACCAAGTTTATAATTTCACCATAAAAGCTTTTACCACACTACACAGCGCTCTTAAACACTTCTCTTTATTCTAATTACAACATCCTCTTGACTACACATTCTCACGCTGAATTATAAAATTCAACACACATCCTTTCACCATAACTTGTACTCACCAGCGCTCACCTAGATGCGCTCAGCACTTGCATAAGCTCTCTGGTATGCCTTTACAATTACAAAATTCACCATTTCACTCTGCTCGTGAGTATATTGTACTCACCCTTCAATTAACGACGTTGCTCGTCGTGTTGAGTAACGAAGGTACGACGCGTGCTCGGATACCCGTACCGTGTCAAGCAGTGCCGTTAGCCGCCGTTAGGCATCGTGTTGGTTTTTTGGGACACGTTTAGTAGCATTTCGGGTTTGGCCAGGATGTAAAGGATAATAACGCGAGTTAACGATACGCGCACGTCGTACGCTTCTTTTTTTGTCAGTGAAAAAGGCAGCACATATTAAAGAAAAAAAATACATACCATCGCAAAAAATTTCGCTAACGAAATTGTGAGAAAATTACAAAGTGCTTTTGTGTCCCGTTTAATGCAATGCAAGTGTAGTTGGCAATAGTGCAAATTATTAAATAATTTATATTATTACACGAATGAAATTTGCCGCTTCGTGCACTCGCACGAAATTCTTCCTGACCTACGCTATACATGTAGTTACTACTGGGTCCCCCGGGCCCTCAAAGCGCATTACAAGGCGCAAACGGGGCTTCTACAATCGCGTGTGTTGTTGTAATTATTTTATGTTTGTATTAATAATTTTTATTTTAGCGAAATTTTAGTGGATTTTATGCGTATAACCTAATAGTACGTTCAAAGCCGTCGATATTTCTGGCCTTCTATATCGCGTTTTTTGTTTTCAGTATTTTCGCCGCGATTCCGGTATTCGTTGTACTTGTTTCAAGTTTACAGTTATTCTATATGTTTATACAATTTAGATATCTTGCTGTTGCGGAAAAATTTACGCTTACTCGGATGCATCCCTTCGATAAAACAACAATAGTAATAAAGAGTAAATTATCGGTGTAAAAAAAAAATATTAAATATATATAATCTATCAAAAGTTGAAAATTGTTACTAAGACCCAATTATGCTGTCAAATAAATGGAAAATGTGTAATTTAATCTTCAAAATAAAAAAAAACTAAACAAATAAATCGCACAAAAATTGAAAGCCTACAATCGGATGCATTTATTTAGCCGAATGAATATTTTGTAGGAGAACCGTCACAGCAACTTCTAAACCTTTAAAGCAACAAATAAATTTAACGGTAAATTCAAATTTTCAGATTGATAACTGTGACAACCAAGCCTCGTATGGAAAATAATTTTTGTTGTTCTGGGGGTTTTATATTGTTCTGATTTTTTTTTTTACTGTTGCTGCCTTACAATCATATGTGAGAGCTGAACTTAATTTTTAATTTTTGGCTTACTATGCCGATAATAGGGTCTGCTTGTAATTAAAATATAATTTATAAATTAAAATGTAACACAATTTAATGGTTCGATTAACACGAAATAGAATGGCCTTCAATGACTAATGAATGTATTACTAATAACTTGGTGAAAACGTATCGAAGTATGAAAGCTCTATTTTAATAAAATTAGCTTTCAAAATAAAAAAAATTAAATGTCATTCAAAACAAATACAAATAAATATTGAAATAAAAAAGTTTATATAACAAATTTAAAGCATTTAAAAATTGCATATTAAATGAGTTCATTTAATTCAAAATTATCGCATATAGGTTTTAGACAGCCTCTTAAATGAATTAATTTACGTTTTCTCTTTAATATATTAGAGGTGCCTTTTAAATGAGCCAATGAAGGTTTTCCTTTGAAGTATGCGATGTGTCATGTGTTAATTGACTGTTCGAGACGACAATTAGATATAAATTGAAATAAGTTTAGCGTAAATTGAATGAAGTTTAATTAACGTCTTATATTCTTTAATTAAACTTCATTCAATTTACGTCTTATATTCTTTTATTAAAATATTATAATTATTAGAATATAATAATTAAGCCAATTTAAACCAAATTAAAGTGAGTCATGTCAGATCAATTTACCTAAGCCTCAAACATTATGTAAAATCACTAGCTTGCCTTTAAAATGAGTCAATTAATATTTTGCTTTTCAAGTATTAAATGTGCCATATTGTAATTGACTAAATTAAGTGACTTTACGAGTTGGCTGTTAAACTGAATGAGGCCTGAAATTGTTTTATTATTAGAATAAAATAATTAAGCTAAATTAAACTAAGTAATTATCTTAATTAAAGTGTGTAATGACAGCTAAATTACCTAAGTTTCAAATATTAGAAAAGTCCAGCAATTTAGAAGCAAAAGTAGTGAAAAGTGTAATGCACTAATTATACTATTTTACTGCCTAGGCGTAATTGAGAGTTAATTTGTACTTAATAAGTAAATCTGTTTCGAATATATTAAATACTTACCCAGTTATGTAGCCGCTTCAATAAGTCAAGAGTTTCCCTTTTAATGTATTAAATGTGGTATTTGCTAATTTACTAAATTAAGTCACTTTTCGAGGCAACAATTAAGCACAGGGTTGACGTTTAATTGAGGCATGAAATTGTTTTATTATCACAAAAAAATTATTGAGCTAATTAAACTAGTTAACTAGCTAAACAAAGTACGTAGTTACAGATTAATATAGCGGGCTTCAAGTATTAGATAAGCTCGCTAATTTAAAAACAAAAATGTTCAAAATTGGATAAAGCTAATTGAGCAAATACATTGCCAAAAACTTAGTTATAAATTAATTAAAGTGTGGTGACTGCAATTGCCTCGATTGTGTTAAAAATTGAGCTGAAAGTGTAGCATGATGACATGAACTTTAAATAAACTCAGCACAACTAATTGAAGAAGTAAAAAATTAAACTATAAAAAGAAATTCAATATTTTATCAAAGTAGTATAATTAAGTTATTTCATATCATAAACTGAAATAAATTAAGTGACTAAAATGAAGGGTAATTTAAGTTTATGTTTTTTTTTTATTATTTATGTTTTGTATTCGTTTGTTTTATTTTTATTTTTTTCAAACAATATACTGTCTGAATCGAATTAAAATTGATTTAATTAAAGTTGTATGGAAATTGTTCAAGAAATGCTTGCATGAGTTGTTTAATTACAAACTTCTTTTTAAGTGATTCGAGTTGTGCGCTAATGCCAGGCTTATTAAAATTTGACAACACTAAGGCAATTTTCGTGAATAGACCTATCACAACAAATACAAGAAATAGTATTTTATAGGCATATTTTTATATAATGTTTGCGGTACATCTTTCAAGCCAACTAGCCAATAAAAGTTATTTTGAAATAACCACTTGAGTTTGAAAGCATTGGAATAATTTCTAATAAACTTCTCACGTTCTTCTGCGTATTCATCGTTTATATTCCTGCAGTATTCCCTCAACTGTCGCTACTTTGTAGAGCCCTATACTAATTTTTTAAGTAATCAAATTTAACATGACGGCGAATACATTTTCTTTTCATATCGCCCATCTGTTTAATATTGTACTGTATAATCTCAGAAGCTGTCGTTTGGCTTTGAATTCTCGGTAGTGAAAGTTTTTAAAAAACACACAGAGTATAAATATAGGTCTTACATAGATTTAAGATCTACAAAAAAGTTAAAGCTAAAACGAGTTTCAGAGACCTACGCATTTAGTACGAGACTAACTCATCAATCTTTGTTAGCATCATTTTCAATTTGCATAGTTTATATTAATGGATTTAAATTTGTAATCCCGATTACATTTATAAAATCCTTTAAAATTATGAATTTAGCCACAGAAGCATATTTTTTCATATTAAAAGGCTGTCAGAAGAACTAAAATCTGACTAAATGGCATGCTATTAATGTGAAGCAAGGCAAAACTTTGTGTGAAATACTCTGTAGAATCTAGTATAAGCACTTAATTTCTGCCTAATTTTTCGTTTATAAGCTTACCGACGTTTATGCTTTTTATATCTCACTCTCAGACATTTCAGATTTATATCTGACACTCAGATGAGAACCCCATAGCCATGGCCGTCTCTCTGTATATACGCGAACTAGTTCCTTAGTTTTCATGATATTGATTGATAGAAATTTTGCACTCGTTCGTTTCTCCCCAAGAAGCCGTTAGTTTATCGGAATCGCCAATAACGGTCCACTATAAGCTATAGTTGCCATACAAACTGAACAATCAAAATCAACTCCTTGTATGGAAAACTTTTTTATATGTCAAGATATCTTCATGAAATTTGGCATAGAGTATTGACTCATATCATGTTAAAATTTTCGAAGATACTGTTTAGTTTAAACCAGCATATAGTGTCATATGTACATACTGGCCGATC